AACAACAAGTGCTGGCGAGGATGTGGGGAAAAGGGTACTCTTGTACATTGCTGGTGGGACTGCAAATTGGTGCGGCCAATTTGGAAAGCAGTACAAATTGGTGCGGCCAAATTGGAAAGCAGTATGGAGATTCCTGGGAAAGCTGGGAATGGAATCACCATTTGACCCAGCTATTGCCCTTCTCGGACTATTCCCTGAAGACCTTAAAAGAGTGTACTACAGGGATACTGCCACATCGATGTTCATAGCAGCACAATTCACAATAGCTGGACTGTGGAACCAACCCAGATGCCCTTCAATAGATGAATGGATAAAAAAAAAAAAATGTGGCATTTATACACAATGGAGTATTACGCAGCACTAAAAAATGACAAAATCATAGAATTTGCAGGGAAATGGATGGCATTAGAGCAGATTATGCTAAGTGAAGCTAGCCAATCCCTAAGAAACAAATGCCAAATGTCTTATTTGATATAATGAGAGCAACTAAGAATAGAGCAGGAAGGAAGAGCAGGAGGAAAAGATTAACATTAAACAGGGATGAGAGGTGGGAGGGAAAGGGAGAGAAAAGGGAAATTGCATGGAAATGGAAGGAGACCCTCATTGTTATACAAAATTACATATAAGAGGTTGTGAGGGGAATGGGAAAAAAAACTAGGAGAGAAATGAATTACAGTAGATGGGGTAGAGAGAGAAGATGGGAGGGGAGGGGAGGGGGGGATAGTAGAGGACAGGAAAGGTAGCAGAATACAACAGTTACTAATATGGCATTATGTAAAAATGTGGATGTGTAACCGATGTGATTCTGCAATCTGTATTTGGGGTAAAAATGGGAGTTCATAACCCACTTGAATCTAATGTATGAAATATGATATGTCAAGAGCTTTGTAACGTTTTGAACAACCAATAAAAAAACTGAATTTATTTCAATAAAATATTTAAAATAAATATAAATACACACCCTTGGCTAAGCTTAGAATTCCCTGGCTTTGTAGAAGTGTTAATGTGTTCATGGAAAACACACAATCACATCATACATTGAGCTGTGATTCTGGAGACATGTATTCTAGCTAAATATCCAACAAAATTCATTATATTACCTTGCTGAAGCATAGTTTTTCATGATTCAAATAGACTCATATATAAGTCCTCAATGTGACGTTTAGTAGCTTTATAGTATTGGGTAAGTCAATTGCTTTGAGTATCTGTCACATTTGTAAAATGGAAAATAATACTAGAAATTATCTCATAGGCAAGATGTGGGGTTTTAAATTGATAATGTATATAAAGTTGATGGCACAATGTCTGGCACTAATACTGGCAAGGTACTTCACTTCTCTGGGTTTTTGACTCCTCAGTGTGTAAAATGAGGAGACTGGCTTATTATTAGAGAATTTCAAATTTCAACTCAAACTCTACAACTTAAATAAAAAACTCCAATACCTTCCTGTCATTCAGATAGGAATTATAAAAAAAAATCTTAAAACACAAAAAAATATAATCCCAATTTTTATCTTTTATTTTAAGCTCTCTAAAATGAACAGTATATTTTTAAGCATTGTTTTCTATCCAGAGTTCAATCAATTTTGTCTATTGGTCTACATGTAAAAGTCTAGGAATATCCTACTAATTACTGCCTACAAGTTAAAACAGCTTAAATGGAATATATATATATATATATATATATATATATATATATATATATATATATATATTCAAGTAAAATGATTTCCCATCATAATAAACAATATTCATAATTAATTTATAATAATTTATGACAGTTATTTTCAAGGGTTGCTTTGTATTCATATTCCTAAACCACAAACTTTGATGTAATTTTGGGATGTTCCCTCAGAGTGAAGCAGTAGCTCAAGTAAAATCTATGAAAACCTGCTTGCTAAATGATGATTACAATATCACTGAAGTAAAACTTGAATTCTATGGAACAATGCAGATTGATGCTCAAGAGTTAGGAAAGTGACAACCAAACTATTATATAATACTAACATATCAATTATCAGCTGTGAATCAAGGAATAAACAAATAAAAATTATCAAGAGGTCATTAATGTGAAATAGCATTTGAAGTTATAATGCAATAAAAAGTGAGTAAATAGTATATTTGAAGAAACATGTAGCAATGTCATCACATAGAAGAATTGAAAAATGGAATATTTGTAAATGTAGCACTTATCAAACTGAAAAAAATAGAGACAAAGTCACTTCTGGGCTAATATTCCTTTGGTCTTTTTATGACGACATGACACATTTGGAGGCCACTCACTACATAGAGATTTTCCATAATGCTATTTGCCTGATTTACATTGAGGTTTATTTAGGCACTGGAAAATCACTCACCTGACCAAAGATGGATAAGTTTTCACATGAATAGAGTTCTCTCTATAACAATATTACTTCACTTCCCAGGAAATTTGTGTCCTAGAAAAAAAGAACTTAGATGGCTAGATGGCTATAGCTATTTTTATTAGCCAGCCAGAAACTGTGGATAGATGATAAAGAAGTAGATCTCTCTCTCTCTCTCTCTCTCTCTCTCTCTCTCTCTCTCTCTCTCTCTCACACACACACACACACACACACACACACACCAAAACATAAAATGACAATAGAAAACTGGCTATAAGAAAGTGACAAATATAAGAATTTATGTGACAATTCTAAGAGAGATAATCTTAACACCTCAAAACAATCAATCTATAAGCATAGTTTGAATTAGACTTGAAAGGCATTTATGAAGATGTATACCTTGAGTTTCCAAAGTGCGTAAGATTTGAATTATGTAGAAGAGATGGTTTCCTAGGTGAAGGGTATGATAGTTGTATAAGGAGTAACATTATGTAGGTAGATTGTTCAGGGGCCATTAAGAACAGTTGTGCTCTGAAGAATAAAGTAAAATAAGGTTCCCATGGCTCACTGATGCTATATTGCTGGGAGCCATTAGCCAAGTAGGTATGACAATTTCCTTGCCAGCGTACCCCATGTTGCAGTGACATTGAATGTACGTGACCTTGCTCAAGGACCAAGGCAGATTAGGGTGTTCCTGGTTTTAAGATAATCGTGTTTAGGGCGTTCCCAGTTTAGGTTCCAGGTTTAAGGTTTAAGATTATTCCTGCTGGGAATAGGGCGTATCCTGCTGCCTGAGTTCCCCTTGAGTTCTCACGGGATTCAGACAGTATATTTTGGGAGATAGAAGCCCAGTGGATGTGGATTTGGGCAGAGAACGTGGATTTCCCCAGAACGTGATTGTAGACGGCTGGTGTGAGTTCGGGAATAAAGAGTTGCTGTTTGAATCTACAAGCTGTGTGGTGGCTCGTGATTGTGTGCCCAGCCAGACTGCGGCATTTGTGCCCAGCCAGACTGTGGCACTATATTATGAAGTTCTTTGAAATCCAAGTGGAATTTGTCTTAGGACAATAGAAAACAGAGATCCAAGAATACTTTGGTTAGAGAAAATAGTAATGAAATGTGTTCCCAGATCATTAATCTGGTGGAATTACTAAGGATTTTGGACAGAGGTGAAGGCTGAGTAGAAAGCTCCTTTAGTGACTGGAGGGTTAATGAGAGTTTAGATTGTAGGGATGTGGAAAGATGATATGAGAGTGCATTCAAAGGAAATTTTGCCCATATTTGATAATGTCTTAACTGTGAGAAATGGAGAAAAATCCAGATCCTTGATTAGGAATCTATGATCAGATTGTAGAGTGAATCATTAACAATGTTCTACAATTTTCCCACCAAGGACAGACAAGTAGGTTGTTCTTCATAATAGCTGAGTAAAGTGCCTCTCCAAATGAAGGGGTGTTGAACAAAATCCCTCAAAACAGGATGTGACTTCTGTGGACACTAAAAAAAGGACAGCACCAAACTTGAAAGAGAGACTAAATATTTGTGAGAGAATGCCAAGAAAGAAAGACAAAAAGGAAATTTTCTTTGAGTCTCCACAATAGACTTCACTCTGAGTCTCTCCAGAGTTTAACCTTCAAATCAATGAATGTCACCACAAATCAGATGTCCTTAAAGATTAAAAGTTATATTTATTTGAATAATTAATGCATTTTATTTTTCCCCAAATAATTTTTCTTCTTTTTAAAATATTTTTTTAGTTGTAGATGAACAGAATATCTTTATTTTATTCATTTATTTTGATGTGGTGCTGAGGATCAAACTCAGTGCCTCACACAGGCTAGGCAAGTGCTCTACCATTGAGCCACAACCTCTGCCCTCCAAATCATTTTTCAACTAAGAATTTTCTATTCTACAAATTCTTCTTCAAGTTCTTTCTGTCATTTCAATCTTAATATCTGGAGATTAAAATTTTGCCTTCTCAAATTTACTAAATCCATTTATTGGGCCCAATTCCGGGTCTGGGTATACTCAGTATGCCAGATTAAAAGTAAAGGCAGCTCCCTCCACATCAGCAGGCGATTAAAAACATCCCAAGGCCAACTCCCTAACCTTTCCCACATTCAGCCCAGAGAGGGCTCAGCCCCACCCCCTCCAGCGAAACGGAAAAGCGCCTGCGCAAGCTCAAAACCTATTCTCCTCACAGTGAAACACACACCCCCCATCAAGGTTCTGATGCGCAGGCGCAGCGCCCTCCGTGCCGCTGAGTGGGGCTGAGTAATCTACTGTCCAGGGAAATCTAGAAGTGGTAGAATTCATCCCCCTCCTTTCTTTGAGGCAGAGATGCCACTTCCTCCTCCTACCCGGCCAGAAGTGCATCCCAAACATAGCCCTCTCTCGGAGCAAGGTACTGCGCTCTCTGGCAAAGACCACTGTATCCCTAGCCTCCGCTCGATTTTAACCTCAAACTGCCGCCAGCCTTTGATGGTAGGGTAGAGGCAGTTAGCTCTCCAAAAGCCGCACCAATTTATTGACTGCCTCTTTAGGCCACTGAACCGGGCACCCCACGGGGCACAGTATCATCACGGTGCCTTGCCCGCCCTCTTTCGCCCTTCACACTCACCCAGGTAGGGTGCTTACCTCCGGGCGTGGTACGGTCACGGAAGGGGTCAAAGGATCCCAGATCTGGCCAGTGCTGAGGCAGGCGGATTCAGCGAGATTTTTCCTGGGTCTCCACTGCCGCCTCAGACAATGAAATCAGCGTGTCCGATCATCAATTCTCATCATGATCGTGACGTCACAAAAGACAGCGGCCAATGGAAATCCGAGATCAGCTCCGGACAGTCCCTGGCCTCAGCCCAGAACCCAAGAGTGGGGAGGGGGAACAGAGATGGCTGCCTGCAGTGGGGCTGCCTCTTCCCTGCATAGATCAGCTGGACCTATGGCCAGGCCTCTCTGTACCTCTTTCTCTCTGAATAGCTGTGAACATCCCTGTGACTATAGTAGTTACATGACAGACATTTGAGCAGGTGCTGCCTGGTCTTTCAACTTGAGATTTGTTTTCAGTGAAATTGTCCTACACTACCCAAATCAAGTGATACCAGAAAGAAATGCAGTCAGCATTCAACTGACAGGTAATTCCCTTCTGTTTTATTAAATGCAAGATCATATCCATCTAGTTTTTGGAACTTTCTAGTAAGAATGAGTGTAGTGTTATATGTAATTGGTTCACTGCATTTACTGAAATAAGAAATTATGGGTTTCCTTCACCTAACCTCAATCCCTATTCTGTCAGAAGTTACCTGGGTGATCTCCATTACAGGGAAAAATTCAAGCCATATGTTGCATCAGTCAACACTGCACAACACTGCACAAATATGTTGGATGCCATGAGAGATGGTGAATTTATTTGTTCTCTGCAATTATAGAAGTTGTAACATCATTTGGAAGATAATACTATCTTTAAGTAAATATTAACAACAATGTAATAAATTACATGATCATATGCTCAGTCATAAACTACAGAAAAGGGCTAGATTATTTTTTGTCTGGAGACATCAATAAGGTGGGAAAGTTGGGGCACATTCTGTAGTTGGAATTTGACTACTCAATTGGAGACAATGGAAGCCCAGGTTTAAAGGGCAAGAATAGGCAAAGGTACAGAAGTACAAATATATATGTGAGTAGGGCCATGATGAAGCCAGTTTGACAAAAGATGGCATATTTTGAGACTAGTGGGAGATAGGATAGGCTGATAATAAGAGCCTTTGAAAATAAGCAGATAACTTTGATTTGATTAGAAGCCACCAATACCCCTAGGATATGAGACCACAATCCTCTACATTCAAGGATCTACAAAGCAGCTTAAGTGATTTTCTTCTAACAAAAATAAATTCATGCTCAGATCCATTGTCCAATGGCTTCCATTCTCATACTATGCTTGCAAATTTCTCACCATGTTCTCAAGGTCCTAAATGATCTGACCTTAACATCTCTTTGACCTCACCCCCTGCCATTCTGCCACTAACTCACTTATCAATTATACCAGCCTTCTTTCCATTTCTCAAGAAAGTCATGCTGATGCCCACATCAAAGAACTTGTCCTCTATTGTGCCCTCTGATATTTGTATGACTTACTCTTTCACTTGATTCAAACCTGTGGTCAAACCTCTGTGAAGAGATGTTCCCTACTTAAAGGAAATTTCTGGACACGAAGTAGACAAACTAGTATTTCTTGAATGAATGAGTGAAAGCAATTTTGTTTTCTAGTCATTAATGTAGATTTTGGGTAAGATTAGGATAGACTGGAATGAGAGAAAGCAGACAGTTGTAGAAGTAATCCAGCTTCTAGATCAGTCTGTTAAGAGTAGGAATGAATACAATTAATAGAATCTAAATCATTTCAAAGAAGAAATGATAAGGGTGAGTGTGAATAATTAGGAGATGACCTACTAATGATTAATTAACACATTTATAAAGTATTTACTGTGTGCTTGGAACTTAGGTAATATGAGAAAAAAAGAAGAGCACATCTCCTATCCTTGAATATTTCATATTCTAACTGGAAGAGAAGACATATATAAAGCCAGATAACAAAAAAAAAATTAATTAAATTCATTCGGCTATTTTTCATCTTTTCTGTTTGCAATCTATATCCAACTCATCAGTATATTTGAAGGCTGTACCTTCAAAATATATCCCATATCTGAGCATCCCTTACCTCTTCCTCATTGTCTATTAGGTAAACGTCCCATCCCCTTTAGTTTGAATTACTGTGAAAGCCTAATACATGGTTTCCTATCCTTCTTTCTTGTCCTTCTTCAATACTTTCTTTTAACACAAGTCAAAATATTCTTTATAACTTTTGAATCATGTCAAAACACCCCCTGGCTTAAAGCTCTCCAAATAATTCCCACTAGATTTACAATACTCATTTGCAAAAGTATAGGATTGGCAATAAATGTCTTTGTTGGAAAAGGTTCACTTAAAAAATTAAAAATTCAACATGAGCTCATAGAACATAGTTGTTGACCAAAATAATTCATAATAAACTACAATAATGAAAGTATATTAGCTAAGAGTATTTAAGAGTTCTACTGATCTCTGCTCTAGTCGTACCACACTTGCTTTATTCTGTTGATTATCTTTATTTTTAAAGAGATAATCCACCCATGGCTATGACTTCAGAAACCAGGAATTATGAGGCATTCAAAAAATATATGATATGAGGCAAAACTCCAGGAACCGAGAAAGCATAGGTTAAAGAGGAGAAAACCTGGACAAGATAAAACTATCTTCAAATATTTGAAAAATTGCTGGGGTAAAGATAGATGTGATTTATTGTGTGGCTTTCCAGAGGACAGAACAAAGTCCAAAATAGATAACTGATGGAGACAAGTGTCAACTTAAAACGGAAGTATTAAAAAATGATAGGTACTATTTTCTAGAGTCAAAAGGCCTGAGTCACTGGGGGTGTTCAAGCATAATGACTATAAATAAATCAGGAATGCAGAAGACTTACTTATAGTTAGTGACTACTAAAGTCAACATGGAATTTACTAATTTTCAGTTAATATTAGATGGAAATTCATCAGGGAAATGCCTTCAAGGCAGAAGTGGACTTAGCCTTTCAGGTTTTGGATTGATGGAGCTGAATGGAAGGTTCTAGGTTTCGTCACCAGTAATAGAAGACAATGAATTTATTGATCTCTTATTCTTCAGTAGATCAGATATAAATAAAACATTTTACCAGTGAATTTTGTGTCAGCATAGGACTTTATACAGGAAAGAAAAACTTTTATTTTTCCTGATTATTTTTTCTGTTAATAAGCAGTTCATTTTCAAGTTCATTTTAATAAAGCTAATTGTGTATTGATATATACAAGACCTGCATATTTACCTTGACCAACTTCTGGAAGCTTGTAGAATCCTATTGTTTGGGAAAAGAAGTTTCCTATTTGTAAGTTTTAATTGCCTTTCTTTAAATTTGGAATTGGTGCTCAATCAGATGGGGCATTATAAATACTTTTGATAAAGCGAAAAGCCTTGCATCTTTTTTCCAGAAACATACAAACACAAACATAATGATATTTTTATGGCACCGGAGGATCATACATAAACTTGTTGGAGTAGGTAGTTTCTAGGTAAATAAATATCCAGTTAAATGATTTGAGACTATGTATAAAGTGAAATATTTTATCACAAGAGTGTAATAGTACAGATAAATTGTTTGGAAAGGGTTTCATTATTTATTTAGCAATATGAAGTATAAGCTGTCCCAGAATGCCTCAAATCAGTACTGTCTTTAATCAACTCAAGGATATCAACCAAGAACTCAGAAGGCTTATTTATCCCTAAAGGAACTAGAATATCTGAGGAATTGAGGAGACCAGTAAGGTCCTCAGTTCAAATTAAGGGTAATGCCTTGAGAATACTGTTGACTAAAAAAGCAAAGTGTATTTGAAAAAGTGCCAAAATATGCTGCTATTCACATCGTTACAAAAGAAGGCAGCAGAAAACTATTATGTTAGACCAATATTTGGGGTTAAATGAGTATTGAGAAAGAAAGGGAAAATTAACTCTTAAAAGTTCACAATAATTTATCAAGCTTTTGAAAACTTACTATGAACTAAAAATTTAAAGATTTGAAATAGCTATCTTGGAAAAAATTAGATGAGAGAAAATACTGCCTCATTTTTATATGATTTTGCCATCATTTTATGGATAAGGAAAATAAAATACAAGGAAGTACAAAGTGAATTATCTTAGTACAATTGATGAACAATTTACTAAATGATATATTTGCTCAACTAGAGTTTATAATAATTTGAAAATGACTATTAACAATCATGTTATTTTTCAATCCTAGTGAGTGGATAAATGTTGACGATCTATGGTTTGACAAGGAAAGGCCTGTAGTTATGTCAATGTGGAACCAATGATCTGAAACTATGGAACAAAGTAGTCTCATATATAGAAATCAATATATAGAACAAGACAATAAAGTCCAAATTATAGATAGTTGGGGGAAAATATATCAAGTGATACATGTAGCAAAATTCACAACAGCTAAGATTTGGGGCCTAGAGATGTTCAGACTGTATTACAGAAATCAATGATTGAGTTAAAGAAAATAAACATCAGAAAGCAGGCAAATTATTGGGAAAGCTGCATTAGGATCTAAAATAGTAGGCAAAAATTCAGGCAGATGCATATGTAAAGAACAAACACCAAAAAAAGGAAATTAGAGATGAAACAGGATAAACTCAGGCCAGGGAAATATGATTTATCAATTAAATAAGTGTGTGGTCAATGGGTAAAACAAATCAAGCAATAGTGATGTCATAGAAGCTTAAAGCACAGAAAATGCATAGGTAAATTCTCAGACATTAATACCATGGTGGATCTTGATCAGTGAAGCATCTCTTTAGCTTTGTGCTTGAACTTTAATAATCCTAGTATGGCTAGACAGGGCTCTGGAGGTGGAAGCAAATAATTGGGAACACCTGGCTGGAATGACCTGCATATGGACAGAAAAGTAGCATCTTCTGAGATCATATCCCAACAACAAACTCAAAAGTATGAAGTTCTTTAAATATACTATAAAGGTTCATAAGATGACATATTTCTTTCAAAGTTAAATGATAATCGTTGTTTTATTAAGGTAAATTTCTAAATGACACATAGAAAAAATATTTGGCAATAAAGTTTTCATGAACCGTTTTCAGAATTTTATAAT